CATGGGGACATTGTGGGCCGGGGGGGTCATTGGGGACATGGGGGGACATGGGGGACATGGGGGACATTGGGGACATTGGGGACATGGAGGGACACGGGGGACATGGGAGGACATGGGGACATGCAGGGACATTGGGGACATGGGGGACATTGGGGACATGGGGGATATTGGAGACATGGCGGGACATGGAGAGACATGGGGGGACATCAAGGACATTGGGGGACATGTGGGGGACATGGAGGGACACGGAGGGGAACATGGAAGACATGGAGGGACACGGGGGGACTTGGGGGACACAGAGGGATATGGGGGGGACATGGAGGGACATGGAGGGACACGGACATGGGGTGACACAGGTGACACAGGGGACACGGGGGCGGTACCTTGCGGCGCTTCTCGAAGTTGATGTAGCCGTTCTGCAAGGCAAGAGGGGACACTGGGGACACCGGGGCCACTGGGGCCACTGGGGACATTGGGGACATTGGGGACATTGGGGACATTGGGGACAGTGGCACGTCCCACCTCCAGCTCGTCCTTCATGGCCGCGTCCAGCATGACCAGGTCGCGCAGGAAGGTCCCCAGATAGGGCACGACGCCCTGCAGGGGACAAGGGGACAATGGCACCGTGTCCCCTCCCCGGTGACACGTCCCCAGTGTCCCCATTATTGTCCCCAGGGTCTCACCAGGGGCCGCTGCTCGTGGGGACGTCGCGGCTGGCGCCTTGGGGTCCCCTCGGTGCCCGGCTGGGGACAATCCTGGTGGAGGGGACAAGGGACATCGTTGGGGACAAGGGACATCACTGGGGACAAAGGACATCATTGGGGACAAGGGACATCATTGGGGATAAGGGGACATTGGGGACAAGAGACATCATTGGGGACAAAGGACATCATTGGGGACAAGGGATATCATTGGGGACATTGGGGACAAGGGGACATCATTGGGGACAAGGGATATCATTGGGGACATTGGGGACAAGGGACATCATTGGGGCAAAGGACATCATTGGGGACAAAGGACATCATTGGGGACATTGGGGACAAGGGACATCATTGGAGACAAGGGATATCATTGGGGACAAGGGGACATTGGGGACAAGAGACATCACTGGGGACAAAGGACATCATTGGGGACAAGGGACATCATTGGGGACAGGGATGGCGATAGGGGACAGCAGAAGGGGTTGGGGACATCACACGGGACATGGCTAAGGACAGCCCAAGGGACAGGGGACACAGATGGGGACAACAGGGGACAAGGACAAGCCATCCCATACAGGGACAATGATGGGGACAACCCAATATATAGAGGACACCTATAGGGGACATCATCTATGACGATCTATGATGATCATTGTCCCCAAGGGGCCAGGGCAGCCTGTCGGTGACATCAATGGGGACATTGGTGTGACAAGGGCCACCCCTTGGGGACACTTGGGGACCTGGAAGAGCAGCTGGCGGCTGGCGCTGTAGTTGTCCTGCTCGGAGCAGATGGCACTGAGCTCCTCGTAGCTGCGCTGGGCCTCCCTGGGGACACAGGTGACGTGAGGTCGATGTCCCCAAGGTGTCCCCAAGGTGTCCCCAAGGTGTCCCCGTACCGGGAGGTCTCGTTCCAGGTGCGTTTGAGGCGGTGGACGGGGCTGGACTGAAGGGCCGAGACGATGGCGTGAAGGGACGAGAAGTTCCTCAGCGCGCGGCACTCCTGGGGACACGGGGACACCTTGGGGACACGTCCCCTGCCACCCCTGGGGACGTTGGGGACACCGGGAGCCGCTGAGGTTGGGGACAAGTTGGCCTGGGGCCACCTCTAGAACTTGGGTCATCTCTAGAACTTGGGACATCTCTAGAGATGGGGACATCTCTAGAACTTGGGACATCTCTAGACATGGGGACATCTGTAGAGATGGGGACATCTGTGGAACTTGGGACATCTCTAGAACTTGGGACATCACTAGAGATGGGGTCATGTCTAGACATGGGGACATCTGTAGAACTTGGGACATCTCTAGAAATGGGGACATCTCTAGAGATGGGGACATCTGTAGAACTTGGGACATCTGTAGAACTTTGGTCATCTCTAGAACTTGGGACATCTCTAGAACTTGGGACATCTCTAGAGATGGGGACATCTGTAGAACTTGGGTCATCTCTAGAACTTGGGACATCTCTACAACTTGGGACATCACTAGAGATGGGGACATGTCTAGACATGGGGACATCTCTAGAACTTGGGATATCTCTAGAACTTGGGACATCACTAGAGATGGGGACATGTCTAGACATGGGGACATCTCTAGAACTTGGGACATCTCTAGAGATGGGGACATCTCTAGAACTTGGGACATCTCTAGAACTTGGGATGTCCCAAGGGTTGGGGACAAGGACAAGCCCTTGGCTTGGGGACAGGGACAAGCCTGGGCTGGGGACAACCCTAGGGGTAGGGACCATTGGGATGGAGCCACCACCTCCATGGGGATGAAGCCACCACCATGGGGACAGGGCTATCTCTATGGGGACCAGGGCCACCTCCATTGGGGATGGACCCAAAATGATTGGGATGAAGCCACCACCATAGGGGATGAAGCCACCAACATTGGGACCAGGGCCACCACCACTGGGGATGGAACCACCACCATAGGGATGAAGCCACCACCATTGGGTTGAAGCCACCACCATGGGGATGAAGCCACCTCCACTGGGACCAGGGCCACCACCATGGGAATGAAGCCACCACTACTGGGACCAGGGCCACCACCATTGGAGATGAAGCCACCACCATTGGGACCACCATGAGGACCAGGGCCACCACCTTTGGGAATGGAACCACCACCATGGGGATGGAGCCACCACTATGGGGACCAGGGCCACCACCATTGGAGATGAAGCCACCACCATTGGGACCACCATGAGGACGAGGGCCACCTCCACTGGGGATGGAACCACCACATTGGGATGCA